CGAAAGAGAATTTTTAGTGATCCCAGAAATTATTTGTTTGTTGTTCAACTAACTTCTGCATCGATTTTTCACTGGGGGGCGGGGCCGAAGCTCGACACCGCGCATAATGCCGTAGTGTTTATTGAGCTGGTATGCATATGAGAATCCTTTCGCATTCTCGCTTCATTATCGAGCTAAAAGTGTTTCTATCCAGCTCTCCGGCTAATTACCAACCCGTTCCTCGGGCTCGTAGCTCAGCGCACGCGCGCGCGCGATTACGTTTGATCAGGCGGCGACTACTTAAGACCGTTGGAGAAACACGAACAGAGAGAGAGAGAGAGAGAGAGAGAGAGAGAGAGAGAGAGAAAGAGAGAGAGAAGGAGAAAGAACGGGATAAAAAGCGTTCGCAGCAGGCGGTCATTAGGCGCGAAATTCACGAGCTGCCTTCCATTCTGCTTCCAGCTTCGTAGAAATCCACCGAGACCGAGACAAAGGGGGTCTCGGTTAATGAGACACACTCGATTTTGCGATCGGTCGAAGGCGGAAAGTGCACCGATAACACCTACGATTCTTTTCTACTCGTGTTCGTCCCAACTTTTCAATACGAGCGCGATTTTATTTCTCTTTGCCGCAAGTATTTCTCCGAACGAGGGAAAAGTACTTGTGTATTTGGAAAAAATAACCCCGCCGAATCCTCGAGGGAAATCCTCTCGTCTTTCTTCTCTTCACGATCTCTTGACGGCTAGGAGGTCGCCAGACGTCTGGATGCTTATGTTCTCGAAGCTATCGAGCTTCCGTGACGAGAGAGAGGTGTCATAATCTCGGGCTTTGCCGAAACGGCAGCTGGCCAATTTGCCGGCACGTGCAACACATTCCGCTTGGCCGGCGGAACGATAAACGATAGAGAAAAGGTAGGAAAAGGCGTTAAAGGGGAAGGGAGACTCTAATAGGGGGTCCCTCTGCGTAACTCGGATCACGCCAGGTCGGCTTCTCTTTGCGGGATAAATCGTTTTATTGTGGTCTCCATGGAGAGCGTCGAATGGGAAGTTTGGAGAAACCATTGGAGGTGCGAAGAGAGTTCGTTAAACGGCTTGGGACGATGGCGCGGCTGCTTCTGAAGGGATTAACCGCGAGCGAGTCTGTCTCGAGTGTGCTTCGAAGGTGCGTACTTTGGAGGAATGTGAGGCAAATTGGGAATCTTGGCGTTCGTCCTTGGTTTAAAGAGTTTAGACTCTCGAACGTCCAACGTTTTGAAAGTCGAGGCAAATTTCGCGATCGTCGATTCAGGCAACAAGTTTCCGTTGAAACGACCATTTGTAATATTCTATATATCAATATAATCAAATTTAACAATCGAGATTTAAAAATTACCGAAATCTTTCACCGCGCAGAGGAGCGATTGACACGAAGAGCTCCGGCACGTTTACCGCAGATCGTCCATTCGAAAAGTCGAATGCCGGCAGCGAACTTTTTCTCGGACATTTCAATGAGAAAAAGAGAGAGAGAGAGGTTTATGCAGGAGCAGCAAGTTTCCAGGAAACTTGCTCGCGGAGCAATTCCAACACAGAGAGGTCGTCGATTCTCTCTGCGCGATTCAAAGCTCTGACTCCAGACCCTTTTCCTCGCATTTCCGATTCACTGTGCGGTGGCCACCGTCCATTCACAAACTCTCTCTCTCTCTCTCTCTCTCTCTCTCGCTGGAAAAGTACAATAGCCAGCCAGTAACTCTTGGCAACGCTTGTGCTCGGTTATCTAGGCAAATCCTCCCGGTGGAATATCCCGGCGTTCAGGTTTCATTGAGCCTGAAGCCACCGGAGCAATTTCGTGGCGGCATTGACTGCTCGGAGGCGACACTTGGCCGATTCAATTGGCAGGAAGCCCGCGCTGCTTAACTCCCCCATCTCTCTCAATGAGATTATCACCGGCCACCTCGAGCAGGCTAGCCTGGCCACTCGGTCGTATTGTCACGTTTAGAAACGTTCGACGGCTCGGCTCGTCAAACGGCCGCCTCGGTTCACCGTGGTCTACCCTTTATGTCACTATCGATCCGCGCGCCAACGTCTCAAGTGGATTCTGCCACAGTGCCAGATGATACCAGGTAGGATTCCAGCGGAATTGGATAAAGAGTAAATTTTCGTTTATTCGGGATGAAGAGTAAAATTTCATTTACTTTTGATTACCTCTTTGCGTCTGGAATGACGTGCGACGCACGTCGAGAATTTTTTTCTCCCAAAATTGCAACATTTTCTCAGCTTTACGTATATTTCAATGCGACCCAGGCAAAACAAATGATGAGTTTATTACCTCTGAATCATTTCTATTTAGTGATATCGTATCGACGAGGTCAAAAGGAAAAGAAAGTGACGAGTTATTGTATATATATACGGTTCGGTCGCTCGTTATGGTCCGCGGAACCAGTTGCCAGCGCAATGGTAAGAATTTCTGGATCTAAACACTGTATTTGGAAAGAAACGTTGCACTGTCCGTAGGGAAAAATTTTCTAGCCGAGTTAGAACGTTTCATTGAAAGCGAGTAGTCGAGTTGCTCTCAACTGGTGAGCCCACGATCGGAAATGAAGTGCCAGCTGTAAGTTTCTATCAATTAGAAACTCCTAACTGTCTTAACAAGGACTCGGTTCTCCTACAGACGAAACGAACTTCAACCAGACGAAATTCCACGAAAGTTAACAACCTTGGATTCTAATATCAAGTTTAACGGATGAATTCTGATTCGCTCTGTTCTCAGAGTACATTGGGAAGCGGATAACGGAAGATTACACGAGAAGGCAACGTGGAAGGACGAGACTTGGGTCGTTCTGAATTTCGTTTGCTCGTCGTTAGCGCTACTTTTTCGAGACTGCCGCGTTCGGTTTACATAGGAGAGACGACGACGGAGGGCTCTAATGGAGCACAAAGTCGAGGCAGCGGTAGCTATTTATCGCTCGCCTCTCTTGTTTTTAGCGTTCTTTAGCACCTTGATCGACTGACCGTATAATCACGGTCGTACGAACTGGAATAACGACCGGACACACACGTTCCTCGCTAAATGAGTTAGTGTTCCGTGTTTCTTCTTTGCTTCTTCTGCCTCTCGTTTTCTTTTTTCTTTTCTTTTCTTTTCTCACACCTCTCGCCAAGCGCAGGCGTACCAACCGGCACTAGTGTTCGAGCACGTTACTACACGTTTATCGATTTCGAGCTAGTTTTGAGACCCTCGTGTTTGCGGAGTATTGTCACCGGTATATGCCCATCGCCACCTTTGCCCTTTGAATCCAGCTGTTTCTATCTATACCGTCTTTGGCTGTGGATCACGAGGGAAAATTTATCGAGAGGAAAATAGAGGGTATTAAATTCTTGTCGCTCGGTTATTTTGGAAAATTATGGGAAATTGAAACAGATTAATATGAAAATTTCGAAACAGATGAAATTGAAGGTGATTTGATTTAATCGCCTGAAGTGAAAAATGAAACTTCAAAAATGTATCGAGGAACGATCATTTTTAAATGTCAGAGTAGTACAAATACGGCAGCGACAGCTGCGTCTCGCAAGTCTCTTGCAATTTTTGAGATAACGAATAATGAATGCGCGGCGATGAATACACGAGACGTTCAATGATCTGATTCGTTAACATCGGAAGAGAAACGATGACTGATTAACGAGCACGAATCTGGGCCAGCTTGTGTCGCAATCGTCCTCTGATTCGCTGCATAACACGTTTGCACACTGTTCTGACTTCAGTTTCAGAGTGTTGTAGAACGTGTGCTCGATCCACCAAGAAATTTTCCCATCAAGAAACATCCCCAAAATGAGAGAAGTGAAAGAGAGAGAGAGAGAGAAAATGAAGCAAAATTTCCTTCCCATAATCCCTCAAGCCTATATTCACGAGAAATGATCCCCAACCCCCGTCATGGATTAAAGTCCTTTCATCTCTCTTGGAACTCCTGTAATAACCGCGAGTTATCTCATCCGAATAACGTATTCGCGAAACAGCAAAGATCCCGGAGCCCCTCCGGCCCAATTACGAATTACCGATCATCGCGCACCTCAATCTGGTCGAGTGGTTTGCTTGCAGTTTTGCTGCGTTATCGCGCGCACGCATCTGCACTTACGCCACACACGCACGCACGCACACACACACAAGCACACCGGCAGGGATCGCGTGGACGCGAGTTACTCTTATCATAACGAATGTGCGTGTCGGCCGGGGATTAATCGATTTAACACGATTCCCTGAAGCGGCGACGGATGTGTTAACGAGTGCCGCTCGCGCCAGATAACATCGCGGACACGGTTCCCGGTCGCCGTTCACCGAATTATAATTGGTCCGTAATTAATGACACTGTTCGATTATTGACAGGTGGAGCAAGACGAGAGCGGGCGACGCGCAAGTTACGCGCGCGGCCGCGCCCCTTTTTTTCAGGCTCCGCTTATTTTCAGACTTAATTACCTGCGATGTTACGGCATAATCGGCGATCGGGAACCCCACCCCGGGTCCCTTGTTTTCGTACGCTATCGATCCACCGAGATATCGAGTACGCCGCGTGTTACGTACCTTTCGCCGATGTATCAGGCTACCTGATTCTCGTCTCCCACCGTCTCGTCTGAATTATTCGCGAGAATTATCCGGCTGGAACGTGCTGATAAAAAGGAATCTCGCCGTGTTCGGCGTTCACGTTCGGCTTCCGTTTACAAGGTCAATTTGACCGTTTAACCGGCCTGAATATTCATTCGCGTCCCTTTCTTTTTTCGTTTCTTTTTTTTTTTTTTTTTGAAGAAAACATTTTATCGTAGGACACTTTTTTCTAAGAGATTTCGTTCCGTGAAAAGTTTCTGCTGATGTTTGATTACGTATAACGAAATAATGAAATAAAAGAAAGAAAATTTACCAAGGTCGCAGGTGGTTGAAACGAAAGAATCAAGGATGAGAAAAACGTTACGCCTTCCAGGTTCCAAATCTGAAACGAAATTGAAAGAATGTGAAACTAATAAACACGGGTGATCGAAGAATGACGTACACGTTATTGGTATTGTTCGTATCATAATACTTATTATTCACTAATGATACTTGTCCATGGCTTGTCATTCATAAAAATGCACGAGCGTCTGTATAACGTGTGGCGTGATGGTTTTGATTCGCAGTGTCTTCGTGTTGAGAAGTGTGAGAAGGGTCGATCGATCGATCGATACAAATGGTTTTCGAATGTGTATGTGTGTCTGTGTGTGTGTGTGAGTATAGTGTGGAACGTTCGCAAGTAAAAGTTAATTACGAAGAGACGAGGACGGGAGTATTGATACGACCGTATATGTATATATATATATATGTATATCTTATCGTCTTGGTATCAAACCGAGGAGAGAAAGACGTGAAATCAACATGAATGTATTATATACAACGTCGCAACGTTACAATGCCTTTCGATAATAACAGTTAAAAAACCTATTCTTTTAATCGATATAATAGTTTAACAAACACAGCCTCGCGGTTCGTGAAAACTTAATCGATTATACAACGGAAGATCGTTTTGATCGAACGAGTTCCGAACGTGTTTCATTTTCTTTCTTTCTCGACTCGTCTACTTTTTTCAATTTTTTCCTTTCTTCGTTTTTTTTTTTCTTTTTTTCTTTTCCGGACGCCTTTTTTCACCATACACTTAAAATACGTTTAACATATCCTTCTACTAGTACGATTTTTCGAAGAGTTTGAAATACTCTACTTTTTTTTCTCCTTTTTTTTTTGCGATGCGAGCTGGCTACAGTGGAAACGAAACGACACGCTCTCGACACGCTAGCGATTACCTCTACGTTCAGCGACTGGCTGCTACAATGTCTACTTTTGCACCCGTTGCAGTCGAAGCATCCACTCCGTTTTGATTTACTCATTTCTGTTCTTCGTGTTCGTTTGATTGACGCTATATATTACTCGTCGCTCTGAACGAAGAACCGCTGCTTTCACCAAGTATCATATCACAGACAAACGAAAGTAAGAAAATTTGGCCAGCTTTTTTCTCGTCGATCTCTCTTTGAAAATTCGTCCGCTGCAGACGTCCGCACGGAAGAAAGCGAAAAGAAAGCCTAAGAAAGTTACGTTACGTGAAAACTCGAAGTCGTTCAGTCTCAGACGTTCAGCCGATCGAAAGAAGCCCTGCAACGTACTCCTTTTCTCGATCCTCCTCTCTCAGCGACGATTTCAACGGCGCAAACGGCTCGGGCGCCAATTCTCACGTTCCACGGATCAAGGGACAGATCGAGTAACCATCGATCATCACAACGACGAATAAACGAGGACGAAATAAAGAGAAGAAAGAAAAGCAAACGCCTTGAACTCTCCATCAGCTCACATCGCGGCGAATAAGCGTCGAACAATTGAACTGAAACCCCAGTGGTTGAGACCAGGTTACACCGAGACACTCCATGAAAAAATGGGAAAAGATCGATTCATTGAAAAAAAGCGCGATACACGTCTTACAATGCGCATCGACACGAGGGACAACGATTACAATCCTATCGTATATAGAAGTATACTCGCCTAAAGTCGAATTGATATCGGTGATTAATGACCTCAGTAAATTCCGTCAATATAATATCACAACACAATCAATCCCGCGCAATTTCGTTCACTTGATCTCGTAGGCGTCCAGGTTACCTTTGCGCCTCCTGTAGACGGCCGGCTGCTGCTGTTGCTGCTGCTGCTGCTGCTGCTGCTGCTGCTGCTGCTGCTGCTGTTGGTCGTTCGTGTGATTTCCATGAACGATCGAACGTTTCACGTTCGCCCGGTACTCGTTCTCGTACGCGTGCAGATACAAGTTCTTTAAAAAGATTTGATTATCCAGCTCGGACGGTGGCAGGAATCGTTTCGAGCGGCTCTGCTGTTGAGCCTCGAGCTCCTTGAACGTGAACAGCCTGGTTTTCTCGTCGTCGTAGGCCGTGAACCTCTTGGAAACCCTCGGCTTCTCGCTCCTCCACGACGACGAGCCGACAACCTTGATGGCGCTTCTCTTTTTATTGTTGCTGTTGTTGTTGTTGTTGTTGGCGTTCATCGACAGCCCGTTCAAGGACAGCAGCCTTCTCTTCTGACGCGGAGGACCACTGTCCTCGGACGCGTTTCGTATTCGCTTGCTGCGGTGCTTTGGCACTCCTTCTTTGGCCGGGATCTCGTTGTCCAGCATCGAAGACTCGTTACTGGCCATCGTCGAAGATCGATTATCGCGCGCCTCGATCTCCCTCGGCGTCGCCAGCGTCGTGGTCGTGCTGCTTGTGCTCGACGTCGTGCTCGACGTTGTCACCGTGCTGCTGCTGCTGCTGCTGCTGTTGCTGCTCCTGTTCCCGCTACTGCCAATGGTCGCGGTTGTGCTCGTGAAGGAGGAAGACGCGGTCGTCGACGCCTCTGCCTGCATCGTGTCTTCCGTGCCGTTCAATTTAGCCTCTATGATATGTTTGAAGAACGCGTACATCTCACCTACTGTGAACGTCGTGCCGTTTCGCACGGTGAACTTGTCGATCTTCATGTTCTTGATCAGCTCCTCGGTGGCGTTTCGGGCCTCCAGCATCGACAGCTTCTCGGTCACGTAGCTGTTGACAAACTCGTAGAACCCTTTGTAGTAGTTCTTGCGATGCTTCTTCTTGTCCTTCGACTTGTTCTTCCCCTTCTCGCCGTGAGACTGGCCCTTCTTCTTCGAGTCCTTCCGATTCTGCTTCTCGTTCCAGCGCATCGACTTGTTGTAGAATCGCATGATCCTCTCAAACTCTCGCTTCAGCTTGATGAACTCTCTCTGGTTTCGAATCTCGAACTCTGAACGACTCTTGCCGGAGTTGTTTCTCCGAGACTCGGACAGATCCACGTGGAAGAAGTTCTTGCTCATGGCGTTCAGAAGATCGTGCATGCTGCTGTTGGTGGAGTTGTTGGACTGCCTGGCGTCGATACGCTGCAGCTTCCGATAGACGATCTTCAGAAAGTCGATCATCTTCTCCTCGCGAAGACGCGATCTGTTCCCGTGGCCCGAGTGCTTCTTCCACGACAGAGCCTCCGTGCTGTTATCGTGGCGGCTGGAATTCCCGTTCTTCCCCTCGATCTTGTGCTTCGAGTGCTCCTTGCTCTTGTTCATCTCCAGGTGCAGCAGCTTCTTGCCGATCTTGCGGAAGAACTCGATGAACTTCCTGAAACCAGATTCGAGTCGACCTTCCACAGATTTGCCAGCAGAATTATTTCGACTATCGTTGAGAAGAACAAGTTCTATTTCATTTACGAATACAATTTTCAATTTAATTTGAACGAGGTTCTTTCGCCAACGTTATCATCGACAACCGCTATGTCAGTCAACTTTCTTCCTCGATCGACACTCGCCCCGACAATTCATTCACGCGCTAGATTCATTCGACTCACCTGTAGTTCATAGTAAGATCCTCCTCGCTCACGGACCTTCGACGCCGGCTCCATCTGAGCCTGGGATGCTGTCCAAGAATGCACTTGGGCAGCTCTTTCGGATACCAGGTTCCACCGATACAGGTGGCCCCGGTGGGTCCCTCTTCCAGAACGTATCCCTTCTCGCAGTCGTACATAATCTGCTTGTTGTTCACAACCTTCCTCACGTACGGCCTGTAATCGTAGACGCCCATGTTGCCCATCAGGAAGACCTTGCCGTTCTCAATGAAACCGGGGAAAGGGCAGAATACTTGGATGCAGTGAGGAATGTCACCGATCCAATTCCCGTACTGGCATTCCACCGACTTGGAGGCGTTCTGCGGCCCACCGCCGACAATCTTGAAACCGTCCTTGCATTTGAATATCGCCTTCATGCCGTGGTCGGTCTTCGGCGCAATCACTATCCCGTTTTTCGGCGTCTTCGGCATCAGCTTGCACCTGGCCGGCGAGCAACTCGGCACTATCGACCACGTGCCGTTGTTGCACACCACCGGCGTGCTGTTCGCCGCGAATTCGTAATTCTCCTCGCAGTAGACCAGCAGCCTCTCGCCGTGCTCGACCACCGTCACGTTGTTGATGTGATCCCTGTCGTGGCTGGCCACCGTGATGTTCCCGTTCTCGATCTGAGGCACGACGCACGGCGCGAGACACTGCGGCAACGGGTACCGCCATTTCCCGTCGATCTGACAAACCGACGATGTGTTCCCCTCGAGCTTCATGTGGTCGTTGCAGCGGAAAATTATGCTGGCACCCAGGCCCGTACCTGTTGGACCGCGGCAACGGGTCAATCGGACGGATTGTTCGCGGTTTCCGTCATTTTCCGATGATATTCCCGATGATATTCCGGCATTTTCACGGAAATTTTGGGGGAACAATTTGGTTTCCAAATCACTCTGACACGGAGGGAAGCTTTTTTTCTTACCAAAAAGTTAGAAAGACGACGTTTTGAAACTTTAATCGATTCAAAAAAAAAAAAAAAAAAAAACAAGGATCAAAATCTTTTCCACGATACTCTCGGCCGTCCGATTATCAATTACATGTTCACGTAAACATCTGCCATCGTTTATTCTCGTAACGCCGCGATTATTAATAAACGCGTCGAGGAATGCAGATCGGTGTTGCATCGTGCGACTCACCCGCCTCGATATTCTCAATCCAACCGTTGTACAAAACACCAGGTGAACCGCAATTAATCTCCTGGCAGGTAGGTGTCTTCCCGGTCCATTTTCTATCTGCCCCGCAGCGTCTGGTTGTCGCGCCGATCACCGTGTACCCGTACTTGCACTCGTACGACACGATGGAATTGTACGCGTACGAAGTGTACACCGCTTTCCCGTTCACTGGATTCTCCGGTTTCGGGCATTGCACCGTCGTAACCTGAACAGAAACGTTTCCTGCTTCGAGACGCATGCATGTACCACCACCGTGTACGCTGCTGTCTCGATTTCAGTTATCTGCTGCTAACTGTCTTTCTCTCTTTTGTCGAAAATTTTCTTACAAATTTCTCTTACGATAAATAAAAATATACGACAAATAAAAATGTGAGCTCGTGTCGTTTGTCGTTGACAAACGCTTACTTGGACACATTGCGGTGATTCCTTGGGGGTCCATGTGCCGTCTGCCAAGCACAGTTTCTCCGCCTTGCCGACCAATTCGTAGCCATCAGCGCAGTGATACGACACGCGACAGTCGTACGTGTAACATTCACCTTGAACAGACAGCAGACATCGAGCGTGAGAATCGGCGCGACGACAGTACACTAAAGTGAAAGCGCTACAGGCGGAAGGTAAGTCGATAAATTGGTGGAATACTCGAAGAATACTACGAAATTATCTCTACTTTTTATAAAGCACGCGGTTCCAATTATTAACTGGGATAATAAAACTTGGATAATCAACTAATTATTAACTAGGATTCAGGAGATTCGGATATTTTCGTTCCTCGTCAGTAAGCAGAAACGAAACGGAACCAGCGTTGAAAAAGAGAAAAAAAAAAAAAAGGAGCAAAAGAGAAAATATACGTGGAATACTCGAAGAATACTACGAATTATCTCTACTTTTTATAAAGCTCGCGGTTCCAATTATTAACTGGGATAATAAAACTTGGATAATCAACTAATTATTAACTAGAATTAAGGAGATTCGAATATTTTCGTTTCTCGTCAGTAAACAGAAACGAAACGGAACCAGCGTTAAAAAAGAAAAAAAAAAAAAAAAGAAGCGAAAGAAAAAAGATACGTACCGGCGTGCCAGCCGTTCGCGATATCGGCGGGAGGTCCGCACTTTTGCGCCTCGCAGTTGATGTCGGGGCCGAACCAGCTAGCGATGCCTTCCATCAACAGGCACCTCGCCTTCCTGATACCGGTGGTCATGTAGCCGTGATTGCAAAAGTATTGGACCTCGTGGTCCAAGTCGAAAGTGGTCTGCTCGGGTAGAGCGTTGTGCCGCGCGTTCTTCACCTTGGGCGGCTGTGAGCAGAAGGACCTCGAGTCTTTCTTGCAGGAGGGCGTCGTGCCGGTCCATTTGCCGTCGGCCCTGCACGTCCGTTCGGTCAGCCCGACGATGAAATAGTCCGGGTCGCAGGTGTAATGGGCCCGATCGCCGAAATATCGCCCAGTTACGGTCATCACGCCGTACGGGATTTCATTGAGCGTCAGGCATTCCCTCTCGGGCTTGATGCAAGACATCCCGCAAACACCGTCGCATCGGCACTTCTTCTTCTTGCTCTTGCAATCCTCGTCGGTGGAGCACTTACGCAGACACTTCTGGCCGAGCAGTTCCGCCTGTCCCTCGTCCCTCGGACACATCGCCGACGGTGAATTCCTCGGGTTCTTGTATATACGGCCGTCGTCGTCCACCTCGGGCTTCGTCTGGTAGCTCTGCTCGTCGGTGTCGTCGTCCTCGTCGTCCTCGTCGTCCCAGTCATCGTCGTCGTCGTCGTCGTCGTCGTCGGCCGCCTGCTGGCCGAGCCTCGCTTCCGACGTCAGGAAAAATATGCAGAGGAGCAGAAGGTGCAACAGAAGGAACCCACCGGGTCTCATCGTATCGGGCGTCTGTCCGCTACTGATCGACCGCTCGCTCGCTCGCTCAGTCGCGAACGCGATTCACGCACTCGAGAGATACTCTCGACTCGCGCTCGACACCGACTCGCCGTCTGTAACGCACTCGCGTAACACTCGCGACGACGCAACGACGCGCAGCGATCGCGTCGACAGGGATCCACCGATTAACGTGGAAATGTCGCGGCGCGCAGTGTCGCGAATTGAAAAACCGTTTCACCAGAAACGACGATCACGGGACGCGACGCGGCGGTCCATTGAATGGCACTACGTTGCGGAAGCTCCGCTTAAAGCAGCAGCAGCAGCGGTCTCATCCCGCGAGGCTGACGCGCGCACGAGGACGACGCCGAGGAGTTTCTCTCGCGACCGTGACTATTAATCGAGTCTGCCTCTTCGGCGTCCAGGAGGATTAGGACGGCCTCTCCTGTCTCTGTCCCGCACGCCGCCTCACCGTTTCCCCCCTAACACCGTGGCAATTTTTTTCTTTATTGTGCGGACTGCGGCCCCGTGCTGCCGGGAATTCGCGGATACTCGCGCATCTCTCCACGCGCATTCAGCCTGTTCAATACATCTCCTCACTCGTGCAGCCTCCAGCAGATGGCGAGGGACAGGGGAAAAAGCTCCCCGAGTTGCGCAGAAACCTACCCCGTTCCCTCCCCCGTCTCGCTCCCCTTCTCTCTGTCGCCGACCACCGCGTACACCCCCTTTCGCGCGCACCCCCCCCCCCTACCCCACCTCTTTTCCACGCCGTTATACACGCTTGCAAGGGGGTGGTTTCGCTACCGTTTCATACACCGTAACAACCGGCAACATGATTCATTCGTCGCGCGTCTGGAACCGTATCCAATATAACCGTATCCTCTGATTACGGCGAATCTTCCTCCCTTTCTTCTTTCCTCTTCTTTCCATTTGTGCATGCTCGACTCTCAGAAATTGCAACTCTCTCTCTCTCTCTCTCTGGCTCGAATATCTCTGATTTTGTGGACGGTGCAAACTCGTAAAAGCTGTTTTGCAAAACAAGGGTGAGGGAGAGTAAGTGCAGGTATATTTACACAGTTGCACGAAGTGACTCCCGTAGCTTCTCGATATATATTGTTATACCTTTCCTCCCCCGGCAGAGAAGAGATACCGTCGTTTTCGTAGTTGGTGCCGTTACAACAGGTTTATGTAAATTTTCCCTGAACAAGGGAAAGAAATGGAGAAGTTGGTGGGGAAACATCGTTTCGTTGATGCCGCGATACAAAACGTCGACTTTACGTATACTTTGTAAACAAACTTCCATCGTTCCCCGAGGCGTGCAGTCGTCAGGACGTAACACCGTGCGATTCTGTTCGACCCTGTCGCCGTTCGAACAGAAAGTTCTCACCTTGCGAAGCGGCGATCCGAATAAATCGTTCCGCTGCCTATACATTTGAAGCACCATAGAATAGAACCCTCGCCAGAATCCTCGCGGCTTCTCTTCCGATTATACATATTTTCGCGTTGCTCTCGAGGAACACGTTGCTCTCTCGCAACCCGCGAAGGAGGAGCCGCGCGTGCCTCGACACGCGAAAACGCCACGCTCCCGTTAACGCGTCGAGTCACGAAAGCCAACAACACCTGCAGCCACTTTCTAGCCCGTTAACACGTTACCTCGCCGTCCAGACAAATTGTACCGAGCCAGCAGCGAGAACGATCGAACGATCGGCCCCAACCGCTCAATCAAGTCGTTCCACGCCAGTCGAAAATGCGATGCTCTCGCGTGACGCAAGAACCTTAGGTATTCCGCGCGATGCGATTTTCTAAGATTCGAAGCACCACGTCGAGGCTTTCACAGTTTTACAAATTTTACAGTTGTTCGATGAGGTAGGAAATAGGTTCAAGGTGCTTGCCGCAACATTTAGCGCGTTCGGATGAATGAATGAATCTTTATTTCAGCCTTTCGGTTTTATTTCGCGTAGAAATAGACCTCAGTGCCTTACATTATTCTTTACATTTTGTTTTCCGTTTTAATTCCCTTGGTTGTCGAGTTTTCCCTTATTACTTGTCCCTTACATCTAGTATTGCATGCTTTAACCTAACTTTGTACTATATATAGACTAATTAGACTAATAGAGAATGATATTTGTACACTGCCTCTACACTTATAATATATTTCTCTTTGGTACTGTCCTTTAGTTTGGTACTTTACTTTAATTGTGTCTCTATATTTAGTTTTCTGTTACTTTTTTTTTTTCTCTTTTTCCTTTTCAATTTTTCTGAGCTAGACCACCGCTTCCGCGTCACCCTCTTCCGCTAGGATCCTTTCGATGTTGAGACCGGTTTCTCCCAATTCCCTACATTGTCTCCAGTGCTCGTACGTTCCTTCCTCCTCTTCACATAGCGGACAGTCCCTCTTTGCTTCTTTAGCTCAAAATTTGTTGGCATTTTCGGTAGAACCGCATCTTGCTCTAGCCAGTATTCTCTGCTCTCCGTTCCTTCTCCTCTCTCTTAAATATTTTGGCAAAGTTCCGGGTGTTTATATCAAGTATTTATATCTTCTTTTTGTATCTGGTTTCCCTAATTCGGGTCCAGTGCATTAGCGCGTTTGGATGAAAATCCATCAATTTCCATAAATTACACTCGTCCCTGGTGTCATCCGCGTATCGCAGGCTCCTCGAACAGTTGAGAAACAGTGAAAGATACAGAGGCGTGGGCGCAGTAGCCAGGAGATCGGTTTTCAGCGGACAAAACTCGATCCTCTCTGCTAACCGTGACACACAGGCCGTCCAAGGTAATCCCTCCGAGGTTCCGAAGTTAGTGCCGTCGTCGTTAAAGTAAGTCCGTGTCCACCATTGTCTTCGTAACGATCGTAATCAATCGGTACGGTTCGATGCCTCGTACACGCCGTAGGTGATCCCCGGACCAATCTCAGCTATCAGCTTCATCGTTCTCGCCGTGTGTCACCCCGGATGTCTTCATTTGTCTTATTTAAACGAGACGAGACCAGGAACGACGCCTTCTCCGCTTTCAAATCTTGGAAATCACTTGTTCCTGAGATTCAGTCGGAGCGTATTTACGTGGAAAAAATGTGAGAAAACCGGCAAAATCGGTTCCAAGATTATTCTTTCGCATTATTGTTCTTAAAATAATAAAATAAATAATAATAAAATAATAAAATAAAATTATAATAATACTAAAATAACACAATAAAATTATAATAATACTAAAATAATAAAATAAAATTATAATAATACTAAAATAATAAAATAAAATTATAATAATACTAAAATAATAAAATAAAATTATAATAATACTAAAATAATAAAATAAAATTATAATAATACTAAAATAATAAAATAAAATTATAATAATTCTTCACGAAGGATTGCCAGCAAAATAACTCTTTGTCTCGGGAAACATTTCCAGACGAAAAGAAACAAAAAACCTTTTCTCATGGATTGAGAATACGTAAATTGTAATTGCAAATTTCTAACTTCGTTCTCGAAAAAACGAGGCTCACGGAGACCCCGGGCGCGAGGTGTATAACTTCTTTCGTCCAGATAGGGACAGTGCATCGGAATTCAGTATTCAACGAGTTCGTAGAACTAATTTCCAAGACTGATCGTGTTCGTGCAATATCGTGGGATACAAACGACGCAACTTTTCCCCTCGGTGACAAGGTGAATGGCGACTCGGAAGGTTATTCATTGTCGGGAGTATATCTTCGTTTGGACGCGACTGTCAGGTGAGATTGACAGAGTGGCAGTAACTCGGTAGCTGAAAATGGGAGTGGCTGAAAGACGAGAGGATAGGCAGGCTCGCTCGGCGACATCCCTGTGGCGCCTCTCTTCGCGGATCCTCCGACCGAGAGAAGTAAGGACACGAGGAATCAGTGACTCTCAACGTGTCTCTCTCGCTTCTAAAACTGTTGCGTAATTTCGAAATTTTACGAGAAATTACCTCTCGATACTTCTCGTTACGATACTGACGAGTAGCTGCGCTGCCATCGGCTCGATTTTAATTTTTCGTTAGCAACACGCCGGTAACGACTGCACGAAACCGGACCATCGAAGTTTTCTAATTGAGAAAATTTGTTTTCCAGCGGTAACCCAATTACCCCGGATTGCTAGCTCAACCTCAATCTCCTTCTCAATTATTCGCACTTGATTCCGCGCTCGTGTTCGACGCTCCTCCGAAACCGTTCAGGCGTGTTCAACCTTCGTATCGACAATTTCAGATATCCGCGACGAAAGTTTCTACCGCGATACTTTCGATGAGCGTGATCGAAAGCCGGTCGAATGCTTTCTAATTAGCAGATTCTTGATCGAGAACAGTCTCATTATTTTGCTCGCGCGAAGCTCTTCTTTTTTTCTCGGCAATGCGTAAGAAACGACGGAATCATGGAGAGCGATCGCGACATGAGATTCTCTGCGACAAGGCAGTTTTGTTCTACTTGTTTCGTCAAATGAAGAACGTCCTTTTTGTCTCGCAGTGGGCGGCACGGCCGTCTCACCGGGTTGAAAGAACGATGAGCTCACAGTGTCAGCTTACAGGGCTACGTGCCTACGTTATGTCACGTTATCTTTTTTAATTTATCTCCGCCCGATAGGAACGAAACGAGACTGATAATAATAGGAGGCGCGGGGGGGGGGGGGAACTTTCCCCCCCGGTGGAAAAAACTGCACTGGATTCTAGGTATCGATCGGGGTAAATTCAATACGACGCGATATCTCGACGGTCGTAAGTCTTCGCCGGCGAATGGAAATTGCGTAAGTTGACTGCATCATCGCGCGCGATGCAGTTTAACACGTTGAGCGCAAATCGATTAGGCTTCTTGTAGAAAAACGAATCCAGGCTTACTCGTTCCAGGTATATCCTGTTGTTTTTTATACTTTTGTTTTTCATGTTTCTTTCGTTTTATTCTTCTGTTTTTACGCTTTTGCTCTTTATTCTTTTTTGTTACGAGCACGAACGTGCTCTTCAGCTTGTCAAATTGGAAGTTTTTGCAAATTTTATGCATCCCTCAAGTATGCACCATTTTAAATCTCAGTTACGTTCGTTTGAAATATTTTCCAACACGTGACAAACGACAGTGTCACGTGACATTTCATGTGAATAAAGTAGTTGCAACTTCTTCCAAATAATTTAACAATTTTACTATATCATTGTTGCATCGTTGTTTCATCATTTAATTCGTTTCAACTTGAAAATAATTTAACTATCAGAAATTCATTTTTCCACTGCAACGATAATTACATTTTTCCTTGTCCCAAAAATTTAGAATTAGAAGTTCGTCAACCAGTCAGCAGTTACGCGATCGACTTGGCACGCGCTCTGATTATTCCTCCGAATTAAACTAACGAGAAATTTCGGGGAGAATTCCCAACGAGGACGCGACTTTTCTCTCGCATCGGATTTCCATTACAAGCCCAATTTGAATATCCTCGTCAGCGTCGAGGGGCTGGCAGATTTTTAAAAGTCCCGGGCGAAATCCCCGGCTCGTTTCGGGGCTCGTTACGCGTCCATTACGCCCAGTCTTTCTAAATCCATTATTCTCTCTTAAATCTCTTCGGATTGCGACACGCGCGTACGACCGGCCGAAATTATGGTCCGCGATTTTGATTCATCGTGACCTACATACATATACACGTCTCCGCGTGTGTATAATTCGACCGCGTT